CAAGATTCCGTTTTTAACGGTATTTAAATAATTAATAAAGTTAATTAAATTGTAATTACGTTCTAAATAATTTTCTGAATCTGTTATTCAAGCAAACGTTAGCCAGTCATTCCCTTCTTTGTTTCCAATAATCTTCAAGGACCTGTACTGTTATTTCTTAAAATTTTTCACTTGTTTTATATACGAGCTGAAAGTTGGTTATGTCTTCTAGGAATTTATTCAAATAAACTTAAACTTTCAAGAAATCCCCGACTTTAAGATTCTAAGAATTACTGATTTATAATAGATATTTCACAGCTTAAAATCTTTCTCATTTCGACCTTGATTAGAAGTGGATAGCTTTATATTTTAAGACTTCTTTGCATCGTGTGAGTCTCGTCACCGTTCCAACTTCTTTTGCACTGTCAGTTTAAACCGGTGTTTGAGATTTTAACGTCATTTATGCTGTAGATCAAGAAAACGTTAACCGGTGATTCTTTTCACGGTGTTACCAAGAAAAAGCTTTATTCATCGTCGTTGTCTGACGGTAACTTTTCGATCTCTGGCGAACTGTCCCTGAAACAGTTGGCCCATTCAGAGACGGACTACATTCCAGCGTTCGTCCGTAAGTGCGTGGAATTCATTGAAACAGAAGGTAAGAAGAATTCGAAGCTGATCTGACAAATAACGGTGACCAGACTCCTATCACTTTAATCATTATTGTACTTCAGGCATCAAAGTTGAGGGTCTCTACCGCGTGCCTGGCAACCAGTCGCAGGTGGTGTTAATCGAGCAGAAATTCGCTGTTGATGCCAACATGTCGATGTACGCACTCGATTTGCCGGTGAGCGCTGTCACGACGGCACTGAAGAATTTCTTTGCCAACCTCTCTGAGCCGCTGATCTCCGCCGAGCTATACCAGCCATTAATCGAGGCAATGGGTGAGTGTGTTGCTTGCCATTTTGTTGTGTTCGTGCCTCTTCCTAAGACGACCCATCGTTTCGTTTTAGAGGAACGGCGTCCCGATGTCCGTCTCAAGTTGCTACGCCACGTCCTTCAACGCCTGCCTCTTGAAAACCGTGCCGTTCTCAGTTATGTCGTTAATCACCTCCGGCAGTAAGTATCTTTTACCATAATTCGTTCGTCTTTATGTATTGTAAGAATTTACCGACTAAAGTTTGACTTTTCTCGGCTCGTCTTTCAGGACACATCATCCCATCGGTCCAGTGCTTTGAGAATTCTTCTGTTGGTATTATCCCGTTCCGCTGTTTAGTAGTTGACAACTACTACCATGTTACATGGCCTCACAGCATCGCCCTCTTCCTGGAAATTTATAGGGGCAGTGAATCAGATCATAGTTACATATCGTATTTAGCGCTTGCAGTGCTCTGATGCATCTCACGTAATCGTTTTGTTAGAACACAATCTTCATTCTTGATCCAATGTTCGAAAAAATTTTCGTCGATCTTTTTCTCAAACGGTGGATCGAAAAGTGGAGCGGCACTATCAGAGGGTACAACCGCAAGGAAAGTTTGAAGAACAATACAACAGCGTGTTATTTCAAGTTACAATTGGAGGAGCTCCGTGGCCCAGTGAGTAGCGCTAGTTTGCATGTTAGCTGCTTGGATAGATTTTTACGTGGGGCGTAAAATTTTCCTTTTCCCACTTAATTTTCTTCAACAAGGAATTCAGCCAGCAACTGGTTTCAGTGCAACCACCCGAGAAATGGGCAGCAGTTCGTTGACTTACCACTAATAGAGACAGAATGGTGCACTAGTGTGGTCGTGCCAATGTGCAATCATGTTGTCCGCCTTGATCCACCTTATAGCTCACAATTAATTGTTAATACAAACTGACTTATAAAATAAGTTGCGTTTCTTCTTGCCGTAGTTACTAGTTTATAGCCAATATTTTATTTCATCGCCCGTTCTGCTTCAATTTTCAGTGTAGCCGAACATGTACATGTGACCTCGATGGATCACCGCAATTTGGCGAAATGCTGGTGGCCTACGCTCGTTCGACCTCATTTCGAGAACTTCGAGTCGATGGCGATGATGAGTCAACCGCTGGAAGAACTGGTGCAGGTACTTCTTGATAACCCGTCCATCTTGGAATAGCCAGTGATCGTCGTCCGTGGTATCCTCTGATAACTGTCACTCGCATTCGCATCATTCGGTCGAGGTTTTAGTTTCATCTTATAGCTCGAGTTGTGTACCAGATTTTGCCGTTCAGTATCTCTGTTGTATATATCAGTCATTGTGTTTTATGTGAACGATTATATTTGAATAAATTATTGCTGCAATTATTTGCAGCGCTTTAAATAAAGACTGAAGTTGGTCAAACGCAAACTAGTTAGAAAAGACCAATTAATGTGCTGTATTGTTTTTGAGTTATTCTAACTGGACGAAATAAACAATCATCATTCAGTTAGTGGCACGTGTTTCAAAATCGTAACAAAGACATTCACTACATTTGAA